TATATATATATTTAGTATATATTTATCAACTTTGGCATAATTCTATAAATTTTTAGCATATTTTATTATTTTATATTAATATGCTAACAAAAAAACTTTTAAATCCGCTAGTGTTAGTCCAAAACCTGGATGAAAAAGGGTTGAGAGTATTTTTAAAGTTATAGTTTGTGCCCCTAGTCAAAAAATTTTAAGGCTCCACCCCTAATCTAGAGTGAAAAAGAGGGTAATGTGCAAGCACCTTTATTTATAATAATGGAATAGAATGTCCTAAAAGAAACCAAGAACCGAAGGCAAAACATAAATTATTACAGTGATCGGCCATGTCGAAGGTCTTGAGGCCCGCGTCTGCGTAGCTCAGCATGGCCTCGACAGCAGCAATGCGGTCGATTCTACCCCATCCGCCGCTGGTCTGCCACATGCCATTAAGAATTCGGCAAATCACCAGCGAATCGCTTCCATTCTTCACAGTAGTTACTCGTGCGTTCTTCTCCTCCGTCGTGGTCACGCAGCGGACCGACCGCAACACTCGATGAATTCTTCGCCGTCCGGTCGCCGGCGAGGACGATGACGCTCGGTTGCCGCTAAAGAAGGGGCCAGGATTAGAGCAAGTAAACATCGCCGGTCCTGCGAAGGAACTGCAGAGGGAAGCTGGGGATAAGTATGTCATCGAAGAGCTGAGCGGATAAAATGGCTCCGCGCACTCTCACCGCTACTAAAACTTTAATAAATAAATAAATAAATAAAAATAATAATAATAATAAATATTTTTTACATACATAGCACCTAAAACTTTTATATTTACTATATTACACCAAAATTTTCATAATTAGACCTTTCATAGAAAAAGTAGCACTCATTATCACATTTCTAAAGATCAAATTCATCTTTTCAACCATATATAAAGTGTTATGTGTATAAAAATGAAAGTTTAAGTGTGAGATACGTAGAACCATAAGAATTGGATTCTATGTACATAATTTTCCCAATAAAATTGTCACAATTTTATTTGTTTATGTTAGGAGAAAATTAATTTAATAAAAAATAGTGAGAATTACATACAGACCACCACAAACTTGCTATTTACCAATCAACAACCCTATTTTATCCATTTTTCAAATTCTCGCTCAAATATCAAAATTCAAGTTAAAATCCCGACCCATTTTTTTCATCTTTATCAAATTATCAATAGTTTGATCATAACACACGTAAATACATTGGTTCTGCAGTTCAGAAAAATCACTTAGATGGTTAATTTGTAAATATCAATGTTTTAGTTGGTTAGTGTGTAATTATTCTTAAAAAATATATTAATATATGTTTTATTTATTTTCTTAGAAAAATATACTACACTTGGACTAATATTAACTCAAATAAAGTATGAACAACGTTTAAATGTTAACGCGACAATGTTTTGGATCCATATTCAAATCATTTTCACAACTGATTTAAGTAATGTGTGAAATTTATTCAAATTAATATACCTCGGCCATAGATCGAATAAATTCACAAAAAGTTTATACGTGCTTCAAGTATTGTTCAACATAATATGAAGATTGTTTAGTTATGATTTGATCATTAGTTTATCATACACCAGCGAATCATGTTAAAAAGTTGATTGAACATAATGACTGCAATCACAATAGTAGATTATGGTGGAGATTATACAACTTCTAGAAAAATTTTCCTCTAAAAGTAAGTAGATGATGTATTGAATTGGATGCACTCTATGGTCCTTAAATGCATTAAACTCCTCCCACTTATAAGAAGATTTAGAGTGGAACATTTTTGTTGTTAAATTACCTTAATTGCTCTACTTATCTAAAGAAGCACTTGTTAAAATGAAATCATTGTTTTTAATAAGGTTTGCACTAAGGTGCAAGAGAAGTTAATTTCATAGAGCATCATGGGCATCACAAAATGTGTCATCTTATATATAATCTAATAAAATTTGTTATTATTTATTGAAAAAAGATATTATTTCTACATGAGCCCATTACATTACAAATTGTTCTATTTTTTAATGATATACTTTAGTGCTTGTTCAAGCCACTTGAAAGAGTCATTTTTCTTGAATTTTATGTAACTGAAGATGATGCTTTACAAAACTAATAAAATAGTATGTTAACTATTATAATAATGTTAGGTCTATAGACCCATAGAAAACACTCGATTTACTTATTTTCTAAGAAATAAAGAGTTATGATATTATGAAAAATAAAAATTTAAAGCTAATGTAAATTTTTTTTTTAATTTTATTTTCTCAACAAATTATTTGAGTTATTAAATATCGGTGTCACATTATAATTTTAATGATGAGTTGTCAACTAGTCCTCGCATTTAAGACTTAGGGGTGTGGTGGCGTTTTGAAAACGCACCTGGCCTGTTTGTGTAAATTGCGTTTTGACAGCTTATGCGTTTTCAAAACGCCGAAAATAGTGTTTTCAAACCCTAAACCTATCTAGGTGCGGTGTAAACTTTCTGACAACGGTATGGCTTTTCCAAAAAAATAAAAATTTGTAATAGTCATCGCACCTAGCTTATCAGCAAATTATTCAATAAGATCAATAAGATGCAGCTGCCCCAACAGACCCTTAAAGAAAGACTTGTCCCCCATCAAAGAAGTGGAAGGCATTACATGCACATAAATCTATAAAATACTAGCTTTTCTTTATAAAATCTATGAAATCTTTAGTTAAATATTTCTTTTTCTTTAATGAGCTTCTTTTGGGCTTTATTCATAATGCATCACTCTTCTACATAAATGTAAGATATGAAGTAACATATCCTAAATTCTTAACCCCTTATTTTACAACTACAAAATGGTCGCATATGTTCTCTACCTCCTTATACACCCTTTACTTTAGATCTATCTCATTATATACCTCATTCCCAAGCTAAATTGAGAGAATGCTTAAGTTAGTTGTAAGCATTTCGTCTTCTTCATAAAAGATATGGAATGATTTCCATCTAACAACCCTTCCATTCCCTCTTATTTTCTCCTTTAAAAAGGTATGTTTAGTTTAACTAAGATATGCTTAGTAGGATTATGCATAATGAATTTATAAAAGTTTTCATCACCTCTGTGCACCAATATATAAGTAATAGTTATATATAAGCACCATGCTAGAATTTAATGAACACCACATGAATAAAAATGCTTTGCTTAATTTGAGAAAATGACAAGAAAATCTTTATGCATAAGCATTTTGATTCACTTCTAATTCAATATTCTTAGTACTCTCTCTTTAAGGTACTCAACACATCTCCTTCTCAATGTTGTGATGGCTTCATAAGCTAGTATTATATTGTTATTACATATCTAAATATGATGTACAAGGCTGGAGAGTTCTCTTTAATACAGTGGCCTTGTAATATACCATATCAATTATAAGCTTTTTCATTATTTTTGTCCTTTGCCGGCCAATTACATGGATACTAAAAAAAATGGCAACCCAACACCCACCCCCTGGCACTCATACCCCCACCATTAATAGATTCACTAATCTTAATGAAAATATTATTGTGACTATCAATATAAAGGACAATCATTTATATAAACTAATATAATCCAATTTTCCTACATCATATTTATCAATGTAATCAACAAAGATTTCTCTATGTCTATATTTTAAAAATTTTTAAGGTATTTATTCTGCACAAATATACTTTTGTGCATTTTCTAGAACTCCTCCTTAAAATAAAATTCTTCAAGATATACTTTAGTTATCATGACAAAATAAACATTGCCAAATATGATGTTATGTCCTTTTGATATTGAACATAATGATGTATCATTCCTTCTCATAATCTGTAATCATTGTCAGTAATAATTGATAAATAATGGTGTTAGAAAACTAAATTTAGTTATTCTAAAGAACAAACTAAAGTGGTACCTCTTAAATCTGATAATAAATGCATAGCCTCAAACTATCTAACAAAATATTTCATCACACTCCTAGCTCTACATTGCAACGCCTTTCTTTCAATATAATTGAAGCTTTGCATACATTTACATATTTAGTTTTTAAATATTCCTAAAAATATTTTGGAGAATTACTTTTTGATGCCATGAACAATTTTTAAGCGAATGATCAAATTATCTTCGATTATGATATTATCAAATAATTACTATAGCATAATTAAACTATCTTCTAATATTAATTAATCATAATTTAAATAAAATTTAAAGAATAAATAATAATAATCAAATAATCTATGAACTACTTTTAAGCATGATTAAATAATGATCAATAACCATCAAATTATGATAAAAAAAGGATGAATTAAGCTTGGTTAATTTCAAGGGGTTTAGGGTTAATTTGGATTTTAGGTTCAAAATTGGGGTTTGGGCCAAAAATTGAATTTGGGCTTGACTCGGGCTTGGCTTAAAAATTAGTTGAAGGGTCCAATTGATCCAAAGGGATGTCATGAAGAATTTAAGAGATGAAATTGGGGGAATTGAATTGATTACAAGGCTTAATTTAATGGAATTTTGAAGTTAGGTCAATTTTGGGGAATTTGGTTTGGGCTTGGATTTAGGTTAGGCTAAAGTTTGGATCTAGACCAGCTGAGGGTTCAAATTGATCTATGGGAATGCTATGAAGAGTTTAAAATTCAAAATTGGGAGAATTGGATTGGTTATGGGGCTCAATTTGATGAAATTGGGCTTAGTTTGGAGGAGATTTGGAACGATTTGAGAGGTTTTGGAAATTTTTCAGACATGAGAGGTATTTTGGTAATTTTAGCAAATTTTGGGGTATTTTGGGAATTTTGGAAAAAATTGGGGTATTTTGATCAATTTGGGTAGTTTAAAATGATTTTACATGATTTTTAGATAAAATTTGAAGATTTGGGCTACTTTTAGACTTTTCTGATTTTAGGGGCAATTTGATAATTTTGATGAAACTTGGGGCTGAAAGACCAAAATTTGGTGGGATTGAAATTCATTGAAGATGTCAATCACAAGGTTGTCTTATTTGGGCCATAAGACTAAGGGAAGCTCATTTTGGACCCTTCATGTGTGGGTCCTAACCACCCTAGTCAAAGGGCCAAGAGCTTGGGGACCACCCACATGAGTTCCCAAAAGGGCAATAGAAAATAGATTTAATGGGTGTAGTTTCGAGGTAATAGAAAAAGTAGGGAAATGTGATGTGCTTGAGTGTGTGAGAGACCAAACCATAGCCACCCGAGGTTGCCCTAAGTTCAACAGTCCTATGGGGACTCGTCCTTGAATCCTCACATGTTGGTCTCAACCTTCCAAGTGCTAAAGGTTCATGACCATTCATGTGGGTTCCAAAGAGAGTAACGAAGTAATTTGAATTTCTACATAGGTGGGTTCCATCTCTAGTCTTCTAGGATAGTTAAAATGAAAGTCCTATGGCTATATCCTAAGCATCAAGAGGAAGGAAAGACATCACCAAAATTGAGGTCAACAGACATGACTTTTTGATGTCACATATGTGGGATGTCCGCTTGAATGACCTCAGAATATTTTCAATTCATAAATAACTTCACAAAGCTAAAGACATCCATTTAAGACTCTCTAGCGCGTATTGAAAGACATGCAGTCAGGTCATTCTGCTAGACTTTGGCTTTCTCTTAGATGAATGTCAGTCAACATTTTGTCTATCGGATATCTTCAATCAGATCAATAGATCTCATTCACCGCTTCACGTATTAATCAGGCTTAAATTG